TTCCCGAGGCTCGCCAAGGCCAGAACAGCCCCCTCGTTTCTTAGTTTACGTTCCCAATGGCAGCACGATGATTGCAGGCTTCTTAGAATTCAGCGGTGTGATGGCGGCCTTCCGTTTGTTGTGTGCACCACGGGAGTCCGGATGTGGACTTGCACATCACGCCGAGCGCCTCTCCTGCAGTGAGGAGCTTGTGTCTCAGAGAGCACCCTAGCCTCTCCAGAAGCCTTGTCTGGCGCGACGTATCCGCATTGCGATTGTGGAGTCGCACCGTTTGTTTTGGAGTCCGCATTCCGAGATTGATGACATGGCTCCCGGCATACACAGCACCCTGAAGTTTCGCTTGGGCCCCCCTGGACGCTCAGTCGCCTTCGTCTGGCTTGACTAGATTGTTCGAGCACCATGAAACTAGGGCGGGGAAAGCACCCCGGCCCCCATAACGTGCGTTTAATCAAGTTGCCTGCTCGTTTACTAAACAGTTTTGCCAGGTTCGGTGCCTTCCTCTATTGCGTTTACTGGAGAGCTTCGTCTTTCTGGGGTGTTTATATGATGAGGGAGGTCTTTCTGTCTTCTGATGGAGGAGGCCCGCCAAGCCTGGCTTCAGAGACACTCTCCGACAGTAGGTGCCTGGTCGGAGCCCACAGGGTTGTGGAACACTACTTGGCCTCTCGAGGGATCCAGCACTGCCTTTCTCAATCCTCCCACCGCGTCCGGCCATCCCTCCGTGAAACGAGCGCTCCGCTTTCGAGGGGTCCGCCACGGCCCCGATCTTGTGCCACCACTTGCGAACCCCCACCCTGTGGGTCCAATCGACGCCGAGGTAGACGACGCCCCCGCGGGGATTTCGCCTGCCTGCCGAAATCCTGAGAATTCTATACCCCGGCTGGTTTTCAGAAGTCTGACCTGCAGGGATAGGGCTCAGGAGCAGGAGGAGGGCATTGCCGCCCTTCTGGGCTGCACGCACCGCGGGGGGAGCAGACGACCTGGAGGTCACCTCCTCCTCCTCCTCCTCCTCCTCCTCTTCCTCCTCCTCCTCCTCCTCCTCCTCCTCCTCCTCCGTAGCCATTTTGGCTCAAGCCGGCCTCAAACCCCCTGGTCGCCATTTGCCTCTTTCGCTCATGGCCGGCCCGGGTGTTGCTGCTTGAGGACAATGGCACGGGAAGTGCTGCGGGGAGCTGCGGGCGCGCGGGCTTCTGCAGACAGATTGGCGTACAAGTTAAAGGATGAGCTTGGTTCAGCGAGGAGAGAGATCGCCAGGCTGCAGGACCTGCTGCATCGCAATTCCGCCAGCGACCCACACGAAGAGGAGCTGCTCTGCCGCTGGGGAGGTATCAAGCCCGTCTTGCGGGCCCAGCTCCGAGCCCGCGACGGTGTCGAGACATCCCTGTCGGACGCCGACATCCTGCGCCGCAGCATTTCTGAACATGCTGCCGCTGCGCCGAACCCTGCGGCCCGCTGCGAGGAGCTCAGACGCGACCAGAAGGCGGAGCGCCTGGCCCCGCCACGGGCCTTGGTTGGGCGCACAATTTCGGTGAAGGAGCTGCGTGCCGACGCCGATGCCTTCATTCCCTCTTGCGGAGTGTGGGAGGCGCTGGACTGCAAGGAGCCCTTCCCGCCGCAGGGCGAGCTGGATGAGGGACACTGGGGCATGCGCTGCACCTGCGGTGCCGTGGCGTTCTCTGGCGAGCTGTTCGCCTGCCGAGGACAAGGCCGCAGGGAGACGGAGCCCCGTCATCCAGATATTGTTGCAGCTGGAAGGGCCATGAAGGTCGCGGCGCTCGAGCGGATCGACTACGAGCAATGGGTCAACGCGCCCGCGCGGGCGCTCGGCAGCAGGCACCTCCAGGTGCGGCCGTTCGTGCGCAAGGTGGAGCGGCTAGCCCAGGCGGGCCGCGCGGGCGCCTCCGTGCCCGACACCTTTTTCGTAGAGCAGCAGGTCGTGAGGAACGACCCCGAGGCCGAGGAGGAGCTCGACGATGCGTCACTCGTGCGGGCCCTCGGCGAATCGATGCGCGCGCTGGACAGCGTGCTGCGGGACTACCAGTTTGGGCGTGCAGGCCACATCCGCGGCCGCCGAGGCGGGCAGGCCGCGGGCCCAGGGATGGGAGCCCATTCCTGGGGCGCCTCCGCCCCCGACTCCAACGACTGCAAGCAGCAGTGAGTGCTGCTGCGGGCCCCGCGCGGCCGCGTGCTGCGCCTGGGGGGGGCTTTTCGGTTTCCCCTCCCTTGGGGCGGCGCGGCCGACCCTGAGGGGGCCTGGGGGGGGCTCGGTTCTGCCCCTCCTGGGGTGCCTTGGCCTCTGGGGGCCAGGCACGGTTGAAACCCCTGGACCCGCCGACGGGAGCTGCGGGCGCCCCTGCAGCGCCCCCCTGCTGCAGGGCCCGTCGGCGGGGGGCTGTGCCGCGAGGCTTGCGGGCGCTCGCGAAGGCGCGGTTTGGCCGCGCGTCGGATTCCAGGCGAGCCGCCGAGGGCGGCGACCGCTGTGCGCGAGGCACGGCGTGCGCGGCGCGCGGCGCCGCGGGCGGGGCGCGTCGGCCCGACTGACGCGTTCCCTAGTGCCCTCACCCTCACCCCCCTCCTCCTCC